TGCTGTAGCAGTAGTTGTTGATCCAATACAATCAGTGAAGGGTAAAGTAGTTGCTGATGCATTTCGTCTTATTAATCCAAATACGATGGTCTTGAGCCAAGAACCCAGGCAAACTACATCAAATTTGGGTCACTTGCAAAAACCATCTGTACAGGCGTTAATACATGGCTTAAATAGACACTACTACTCAATAAATATTAACTATAGAAAAAATGATTTGGAAACAAAAATCTTGTCAAATCTACATAAGAAATGTTGGAGCGAATCACTTAAACTTAATGACTACAATCTCAATGAAACCCGTAATAATGAGGATGTTAACGGTATTTTCAATCTGCTAAAGGACTATAATAAGGCTTTGCAAGATGAGGAGAAAATGTCATTAGAGGAATTAGCTTTGAAGAATATTGGAAAACAAGATGCCAAACGTCATTTGGAGCAGAAGGAGGACAGCATAATGCATACAAATATAGTGCAGTTTTTAGGTGGAATGCTGGATGCTTTTATATTTCAATAATTTTAAATACTGTTGTAAATTTCTGTTATCACAAAACAATTTAAAAACTTCAAAAGAAAACCCATATTTACTAACTTTGCAAATCTACATTAAAATTTACAATTATAATTATTATTAAATTCTATTGATTATGAAACTGTCTTTGCATATTTGCAGTTGAATAAAAAATATCAATATCAATTGAAATATTGATTTTCTATTCTTCAATTACCAGGATAACAGGAAAAACGATCCTGAGCATATGTTCTTATATTTCACAATAATGGATTTATTTTTATTTATTATTCTACTTTACACATGACGTGGCATGGCATGAGTCAACCCTTGTTTGTCTTCATAAAACTCTTTTATGTTAAGAATGTGGATTCGAACTTCGAAGTATTTGAGAGTTTTATTTAATCTGAATTTCTAAAGCAGAGATTGTTTACCTGCTGTTAGGGATTTTTTTTGAATAGATTTTATGAATTTTAGAATTATTATATCTTAATAACTTTTCTGAGTTCCTGTTAAAATTTGGTGGTTAATTAACTCTTTAATCGATTTTCTAAAGAATGAATGAGACTTCTTTTAAATGGAGAACAACAAGGATTTTTATGTTTTACTACTCAAATAATCACAATAATTTAGTGCCACCAAATAACATTTCATTTTTTAAAATTTCAACAGGAGATTGCAATGGTTGTCTTTATTTTTCTAATGACTAATAAACTAATAAATAATGTGTGTCCTGAAATGGAAAATACTGCTTAGATTTATTTAAAAACTTAACTTTCATTTAAAAAAAATTATTTTTATGTTAGCAATTTTTATTTCTATCAAACATTTCTATGTTTTCGACGGATTTATGTTTCAAAACTGATACATTAATCAAAATATTTATCTTTAAATATTTTTTACAGGCGCACAAATCTAATGATGGTAAGAAGTTCATTCCAATACAAAAATGAAAATGATTAATCTTTATTTTCCTTGTAGATATTTGAATTTTAAAGATGATATACAACAATTGAAACAAAAAACATACTAATATTATATAATTGGATATAACACAAGAATAGTTATATATATTGACATGTAAATAAATTGCAGATATTCATTAAATTAAAGATTGCGATTAAATTGTTAAAAAACCACTTATGGGGATCTTGACCACGTTTGAAAGAATATTCTTTAAAATTCTTTGAAAGTATAGTCATTTTATATCAATCTAAGAAATCGTTTATTAACACTAAAAACAGATGATTTACATTTTTCTTTATATATTTCAATTGTTCACAAAATAATAAGTACATTTCTGATATAATTATGTCAAGGTTATCTTTAACGTACCGAATCCATTAAAATCTGTTTACCATAAACTAAGTTGAGGCATTAATAATTGTGTAAATGGTTTCAGTATATCTGAAAAAAATAAGCAGTGTCATGGTTGAATACATCACAACGTTCGCATGCATGAATCTCTATCTGTGAATCTCACGTTCGTTATTCCCACCCGCTGCATTAATTTTCCAGTTGGTGCAGCTGATGCTGACTGCGAAGATTTACACTATCGAACTTTCTGTTCTCCTGTTGTAATGTTACAGTTGGTCACGCTTGAAGGCAGTCTTTTGCGGTTTCTACAATTTATCACTCGAAACCACAATGTGTGTGACTATACATACATGCACTAGTCCTGAAGTAGACATAAATAAAAGATTTCTTTTCCATATTTCAATTATCTGCGTGGAAGTAGGTTTGTAAAGTGCCAAGCATCCACAAAGTGTCAACATTTATTGTATTATTTACATTAGCATGAACATTCTCATGTATTCGATGTAAGAAATTCTACCTGTGGGCAACAAAAATCTGACTCATTCACATTTACACGCAAAGGGTTCCTTATATAAAATATATATTTGTGTTCAGAATGTGCATTGTTTATTAATACACATTCTGTGCCTAAGGCTTCAAAACGTATTTACTTACTTGGCTCTTTAAGTGATTCTCTCGTCATATGCCCAGTTTACATGAAAAATAAACAAACAAAAAATGATGTTGAATGACTCTTAAAGATTTTTCGATACAAATACACGCATACGTATATCCCACATATTTGTACACGCTGCATTCTCGGGGATATGCACCATGACCTTTCAGAAGTGTGATCTTTGAAAGAGCAGTTAAACTGCAGCGGCTTCTGTTCGCCTGCTTAAATGTTACACTTATTCAAATTAATTTTAAATTTCACAATTTTCGCAAAAAATTAATCGCCAATACAGTACAGACTCCGAATGAGATTATCCGGAAGTGAGCAGACATGACATACTGATTAACAGCAGCTTTGCTATTTTTATGTAAATAGTTACAGATTTTTGAATAGGTACTCATAAACTTCAAAACCCAACAGTATATGACTGAAGTTGAAAAATTACAAACAGGTCATGCACCAGAGATGTGGAAAACGTCAACTTTAATAGATCATTTCACATGTAGTATATGTATGTCCACAGTGCACGCAATGCCTGAATATTCTATAATGTCATAAACTCACATCTTTATTTCAAGTCAAATCAAATAGTTCTTGAGATCAAAAATTATTTTTAAAGTCTATTTTAACTTATGGTATCCTGTGATAATGTTTCACACCAATGAACGCCCACAAAATTAAACGAATAGAAATAAATATCTCATGTGGAAAATGCACAAATGAAAATTTGTACGAGGGTACTATAAAAGTATCGAAAGCAAATACAAAGTTTCACCATCTGTGAAATATCAAAGAATATCTGACTAAGCAGTATTTTCAACAATTGAATACCATTACCCAAAGGCATCTTATTTGATGATTAACTTATTTTTGGGCAGATCAACAAATATTGCTTTATTAAACATTCTCTTATGTTAAGCTTCAATGCCTTGTTAAACTTATGTAGTGGCCCTCGTGCAATAAATGCAATTGAGTGTATAAGATTACGTAGCACATTATGCGAGTATATCACAGAATTTTAGTTTGATTTCAAATTCCCAAAACAACAGTTTGACTCCTGCGGTGCAAATCAAGAAAATGGAAAAAAAGAAGAGTCCAAATAAAAGGCAGAAGTTCACCATTTTCAGTTTCTGTTATCCTATTCCAAATGTTCTGATTGAGTAAACACCCACTCAAGTGCCTGTAAATGTACAGGAAATCTCTTCCATCAACCGTTGTAAGTGTAATGCCTTAATAATTCGAGTCACTAAACACGTTATCACTTCAGTGACTTACATTTTTTTATCACAATCTTTAGAGGACATTTGCTATCTGAAAAGGATACGGATACTTTGACCTTACTGCATTTCTGCGCTTCTGTGATATTTCGTTACATTTCAGTGAGCATCTTTTACTTTCTGTCCTCATTTCTCATCTAGTGCTGCACATTCACTTTTGAATAATTTATCTTCATTTTCACTTTTTGTATTTGAAACATCTTAATCTGATTTAGTGAACATTTATTTATCATTGATTGTTTAGTACAATAGACTATACGTATTAAAGATATAAAATATTTATATTAATTTTTTAAATAATTACGGGATACCACATGTGCGATCAACTGGATAATTTACTTTAATTTGAGAGTTGAGCCTTTTATGTTTATATATAAATTATCTGAATACCAATTGATTATAAATTTCACGACGTTATTATCTAGTACCAATAGCTAATTTAATCTAGAGTTAATCAATATTGGCTTTAAGGCAGTAATATATACTATCACAGCTTTTATGAAGAAAGAAGGAGGAGAGGAGGTAAGGAGGTAAGGAGAAAGAAAGGTAACCATTTTCTTCCGTGTAGAACCAGCTTTTTAAACCGTAGATAAATAGAAGATAACCTTCAATTACATTAAGTCAGAGCCCTATGAAAAATGTAGTAGAATTAATTTAAATAAAATAAAATAATAATCTAAGTAAACAATGAAATTGAAAAAAAAATAACATGTAGAATAAAAAAACTAAAAATTATTGTTTTTTCTCAAAATTCTAGCGTTAACTTCAAAATTTCTTGTAGACAAATTTTTATAACTTTTCGGCAAAAACCAATTAGCAGTTATAATAGCAAATATAATATTATAATAAATAAATAATATTAGTTAAATTCGTTACGAATACGTTAAGTTTTAAAAAGTTCCTAAAATAAGGTAAGTGAGGAAATAATTAATCTCGTAAATTTCTAATCCAGCGAATATTGCCTTACAGTTAACTATAACCAAGCATGGTTATGGAACCTTATTTGTAATATTAGAATATAAAATCAAATTTCAGGTCGGTGAATATTAAAAATGTTGACCATTAATATTTGATGAATTTAACGTTTAACATATGTCGGCCTTTAATTAATTTCAGACTTTTTCAAAGAAGCTTCTAATAAAAGTTTGATAAAAAATATGAAGAATATGAAGAATTCGTAAAAGCAAACCCTATTCCTCTTTCTATAAAAAAGAAGAATTAACAATGACGTAATACTTGAAAAATTAATATTAATTAATTATACATGTTATTCCATAACAGGGTAAGTCATTCTCCTAGAACTAATACTCATAAAATTTTAACAATATCTTTTCCATTTCAGATGTTAACGTCTACATATTAAAAACTATTTATGTCCTCAAGGAGAATCGCCGCGGTTATAAACACTGAATATAAAGTTAAAAATTTTATGAAAATGGATATATAAGGTATATGTTATATGTTATTCCATTATACTATACACTATATTAGGTGATTTCATAAAATGGATGTCTGAGGTATATTTGTTATTCCGTTATAATATAGATCAGAGCTGTCCAAAGCACGGCCAGCGGCTAATGTTTGTGCGGTCCGCGATATGTTTTTAATCTACTACAATTACGCAAATTTTTTGGTATACTAAATAAAATTGAGGCTTGTTGAGTCAGTGCACTTGAGCACAATTACGCTGTATTAACTGCGAGGTTTCTTCATAACCCCTCTCTACGCCTTGACTGGATTATTGTTTATCTGCATACTGCATACTTCCCCAAGGAGCCTGTAACCATTCAGAGTTTCGATAAAACTGAATTTATCATTACAATTTTTATTTTCGTCGGAAACAACTATGAACGTATGTGTTGAT